GCCAGTGAGTAGGACAGGGTGGCGGGTGAGTAGGACAGGGTGGCCAGCGAGTAGGACAGGGTGACAAGCGAATAGGACATGGTGGCAAGGGAGTAGGTGACACGGTGGCGGGTGAGTAGGACAGGGTGGCGAGTGAGTAGGACAGGGTGGCAAGTGAGTAGGACACGGTGGCGAGTGAGTAGGACACGGTGGCGAGTGAGTAGGACACGGTGACGAGGGAGTAGGACACGGTGGCGAGTGAGTAGGACACGGTGGCGGGTGAGTAGGACAGGGTGGCGGGTGAGTAGGACAGGGTGGCAAGGGAGTATACAGGGTGGCGAGTGAGACATTGAGGGAAACGAAACTGGCGCAGCCCAACACACACACATAATGCAAGTAAGGACGATTCATGGTGACATTCAACTGTACAAGACAACCCGTCGCCTTTATGCAAGTGATGATACCAAGCTTAGATTTAAAGTAAATGAGAAACGCGGCTAAGGGGGATACCCTCGAGTGAAAGAGGCAGAGAGAGGGAGAGAAAACTGCGGTAAATTCGAAAATAAAAGGAACTTGATTTAAAACACCAGAACAACACCTTAGTTTAGCTATCACATGTACAAAACAGAATTGTGTATTAACCAACGTAAACATGGAGCCTGTATTCATTTAATTTAAATTTTGCTGGGGCCAATAAAATCTACTGCTGCTAAATTGGCGGGAGAAAAACGTCCACTGACCCCCCCCCCCCCGGCCGACAGAAACCACCACCCCCGGTTTTTTGGCGAGGGAGGAAAAAATGCCTAAAAGAATTGCTAAATTGGCGGGAGAAAAACGTCCACTGACCCCCCCCCCCGGCCGACAGAAACCACCACCCCGTGTTTTTTGGCGAGGTATGAAAATATGCCTAAAAGAATGAAGTTCCTGGCGTAAATGACTTGGTCTTTGTAAGGGTCCCTTACATTTTCCACTTGGCAGACCGTCGCGTGTACAAAAGGGCCCTATCCTCCCAAACCCCCTTCCCCCTCCCAGCACACCCGGCCTCAGACCTGGGGCGCGCATCCACTCATGCATTCACGAGATAATGCTCACAACAGCCAGGGGCACGCGCCTGTCACAAGCCAGACTTTTTTCTTAAGCTCGCCAGAAAGGAGGGAGGGGGGAAACGCAGGGAGGGAACGAGGGTTGTGGGAGGGAGGTGGGGGACAAACCGCGTTGGAGCTTTCGTGAGCCTTGCCGTGCAATACCTTGCCCACCCCTCCCTGCTCCCGGAGACACATGACAAGCCAAGGCTTCGTTAATTACTGATAACATAAATGTGGTAGAAAATGCCCGTTGTCTGGTGTGCTGCTTCAAATTAGGGCACTCGCCGTATCTCTAATATTAATATAGCAACTCGCCGTATCTCTAATATTAATATAGCAATCACTCGTTCTGGACTTCTAAAATAAAAATGGACGAGGACGATAAGATTTCTGAAATAAGTATTTCCCATCCCCAACGAACGGAACACGAGTTCGTTTATAAAAAACGCTTGTCAGTTCAATGGCGTTCGATTAGTAAAAAAAATGTTTTTTCTTTTTTTTTGCTTTGAGCTGTTGCTTTTTTAACAGCTTTTTTTTTTTTATTAAATAAAAGAGACACGGTTAAGAACTTTTTATGTAAGATGTATGAAATATTCAAATATTTATAATAATTTATAGGTTTACTTATGTTGAATGTATTATTTTTTTTTTGTTAATCCACAGTAACTACTCACTGACTACCTTGTTTTGGTTTGGGTGGACCGCTTCACTGCACTTACTTTAAAAATGAAAACCCCAACCCAGTGGCGTAGCTAGGAATTTGGGGGCCCGGGGGGGGGCTGAGCCTCTTTAGGGCCCACTGCGTTTTGACATTCGACATTATTTAATGTAAAAGAAAAATTTCAGACACGCCTTTGGGGGGCCCCCTCAATCTTTTCATCTCTATAATTACATAAGATCAGGTGTTAAGGACGCCCGTTTGATACCGCAGATAACTGCAGAGGGCGGCACAGTTGACTGCACGGTGCGACCGACCCACTGGATACGTAAAAAACATACAACGAGTCGGCCCATTAGTCTTGTCGATATTTCACTGCAGGGTGATGAATATTCCACCAACACAGTTACATCTGAACGGCGCATGATAATTGAGGACGTTAGCCTTAATGTTCCTTTGCGTGCCTTTAATGAATCCTGTCCTAATAACACTGTTTTATCTACGGCGCCTTAGGGTGATCAATGTCATTACGCAGGTGAAAACGGTGAGATGAGATATAACAAGAAATTTTTATATCCATATTTAGCTATTTATTCGTTAAAAAACAACCCCGTTTGCAACAACGAAAAAAAAAGTGTATTTTTATAACATAAAAGTATACCCTAGATCAGGTGGATGGATCGGCAACCAACTTGGCATACATAGCGATTTTCATTGACATGCGTAAGACCAAACAAAAAATTACAAAGGACCAAAAATTCCTCTTAAATAGTGCACGTATCTTATGAGTTATTGGCAAGCTTAACCAATTAGAAGCCTTACTTTGGCACGCAAATACAAAAAGGATAGGCGACCCCTTCTATTGAGAAAATCAAAATTTTAAAGTACGCTATGTCTTTGTTTACTATCGTGACGTACTATTTGAATGTTCTTATTTGTAGTTTCTCCCTTTCTGCTGCGCCGGGTAGTTCCGTTTTTTTCCTTCCATCCAAGTCACCACTTAATGACCTTGCCATACTTTCCTCTTGTGGATACGGGCAAAAACACCCAAGACAATACTCTATGACGCCATTAACCGAACTGTATGGCGAGGGCTGGGGGGCTGGTAACACGAACACGTGAACGCAGCATACACCAGCTCACCTTTAAAAAAAAAAAAAAACGGCTCACCGACCAAAGGGGTATGAAATCCCACATGAAAACTGGTCCAGATATAATTAATCAAACATCAAGCACTCCACCACACCCCATAGTTGTCTGGTATCTCGAAATCAGAAAGAGGAAATACACAAAGGGTAAGGGGAAAAAAATCATGCGGAGCTGTTTTAATAATTAAAGCCGTTACTACAAAGACTTTTGAGTAGGTTTCAGGTTTGGACTTAGATGAAAAAATAAAATATCCTTAACATCCGCTATTTGAAATACTCCCGAGGACCTTAAAACCGACCACCATTTCTCATTACTTATTTAAGGGGAAGGAAGTCGGTGTGCTAGATTGAAAAAGAGGAAGGCAAGAAGGGCCAGGGAGAGTTTGACAGAGATGGAGGTTGATAGGACAAAGGGTGAGGCAAGAATGAGGAGACTAAACAAAGAACTTTGACTGGCTATGAAAATGCACATTAACTTTTATAGTTTATGTCTAGATAGAAATAAAATCCTTCCAGGTACATTATGAAAGCTTTGCAAGTAAACTTTTTCAAAAGAATAATTTTAGTATATATATTAATATTAATTTAATCTTTTTTTTTTAAATTGTCACCAACTTTTTATATGATACAATATTAAATAAATTGTTGCCAAAGAGCTAATAATAATGCTAACAGAGGATATAATGGACCTGCTACAACAGCTTGCAAGTTACTAAGGTTGAAAAATTCTTAAAATTTACATTTGGACATTTGTTAAGTATGTGAAATTTATATATATATGTATATATATATATATATATATATTATTGTCCTCAATTTGCTACCTTCCTTGTTCATATAATTAATTTATATAATAAAGATGGGCCATTTTGTAATATATATATTTTTAGCTTGTTTTTTTTTTATATATATATTTAAGTTTATGGAGATGAGATGCCAGCAGAAATGTTATGCATATGAATAAGCTTATATTAACTATGTCTTAGAGGTCAATCCAATTAAAAACATAATAATATCAATTAACACATACAATAACTCAATAAATAGAACTTACTATGCCAACATGTGTAACAACAACTTGATAATTTTATTTTTTGTTTACTCCCCCAATAAATGAATTAACTTTGTCTCTGGACACAGATTCCCAGATCAGAAAAGGGCCATTGCCAAATTACCCACTGAGAGACTTCCCCAACAGCCAAACAGCTAAGCCAAACAAAAGCAATCAATAAGAAAATTCCAACATTGAATGAGGAGTGTAAATGTTTTCATCCTGAATCAATGAAAGGGAATGATCAATGGTCTTATCTTGTCAGGGTGTGACAAATCAATGTCCAATACTATGTCCAATACACAAACAAATCAAGAGTTACACTCATTGTTTTGAACAGGTAAACTGCTCTAAAACCATTACATTTTTTATCTAGGTGTGTAAATCAAACATGGAGAAGATACAGACTTAATTTTTAAAAAATAAATAATTATTTTTAGAGTAATAATTATTATTTCTTCGATAAAAAAGAAATGTAATTTTTTAATTTTTTCTTTACAATGCAGAGGTAGGTCTTAAGTAAGTTTTTATAACCCTCTTTGAAAATAAATATGGAATAAAAGGGACACAAAGAAACACCAATCACACAACAAAATAAATAGTCTTGTAACAGACAGACAAAATAAAAATCAAACTAAGTTTAAATTGAAAGGTAGTGGATTTTATGGACAATATGACAACATTTTTTGGGAAGAATTATTACACCAATGTCAAATTTAAATGTGTCCCTCCCTAAAAATTTTTCTAGCTTATCCATTAAAATTGAGATTTGAATTTAAGTGAACTTTTGTGAACAAATTATATAATGAAATTAATCGCTCTATCATTGTGAAGCAACAGTAAAGACATTGAAACAAAAGCAAATTGTTAGCAAAAAAAATAAAAAGCACATTTTGTCGAAATTTATGAATACATCTTTAACACTAGACTGTTACACAAAAAGTAACACATTTACTTCTACAAAAAAAAGAGGAATTTCCAAGTAATTTATAGAATCATGGACGAATTAAGTAAAAAGACAAGTGATACAATAGTCGCAGAGTCTTAAACCACATATGTGAAGTTATCATGTTTTTACCTGCTAGGCGAAGCGCCGACATCCTTTGAAACTCTGGCTCTTGCAACCACTTCCACATTCGACGAAACGTTTCCCTTCCTGATTTAAGTTTGCTCCACGGTTTCGGGTTTCGTAAAAGGTCACTAAGTGTACCTTGGCTCCGACACAAAACCCTCTGTGCGAAAACTGCCTGTGGGATACTGTAGCGTTTGAGTTCACTGCTGATTCTCTGGGCAAGTTCTTTTGTGTTTATCTCCTCTATCTCTTGCTGCTGGGGTTTCTGAAGGTCCAGTGATGTTCCAGGACGTTCACGCTGTGGACTTTCGCTGTGAGGTGATGGAGTAGGGGCACTGTGAATTCCATTCATGGATACCATCATAGAACTCGGAGAGTGTAATCTCACTGCGTTGTGGTCTATTCGCATCGGAGATGCGGCGTAAGAGTCAACATAGCTGTTAGGGGATGCCATCTTGGGCTCTGATTTGGGTGATGCCAGTCCATTCTGGGCATACCCGTAAGAGCCAAGACTCTGTTGGTAGCTTAAGTTGTTACCTGACATCATGGTCATTGCTGTGGCCCCTAAGGTCGGGCCCATATTCATACTCACCCCCATCCCCAGCTTCTCGTGGTACCTGTGTCCGTAGGCTGACATGTCCATGATGCCTGGCCCAAGTCCATTGTTTTGTGACATAAGCGTGAAGCTGCCGCTGACGTTAGGGCCGGATACGTTGACATGACTGAATTTATCCGAAACAGTGGAGATCGGAGGAAGTGGTTGTAACGGAGTCAGAGTGGCGTAGTTGTTTGGGCTGTAACTAGGGCTCATCCTGCCGTTCAGTGTATGATAAGTCACATCTCCCATCTGGGAACGGAACTCGCTCGAGTCGATCATGCTGCTCACACTGACCGGAATGGCCTCAGAGCGAGTGATGCTCGTTTCGAGTTCGTCTTGGGGGTTCACGTAATCCGGTTCTTGGGGTGAGGGTTGGCTCTGAGTGGCCGTTCCGTTAGACGAATCGCCGTTGATTTGTTGATCAGCCGGGAGCTCGCCCATGTTTTCCATCGTCATTCCTACAATCAAAAAACGATCGAACAATAAAGAATGATAAACTGTCAATTCGTGTAACCTTTGGTACAGCTTTGCTGGTTGGTTCGTTCGGCTTAGAAGGCTATTACGTACGCTTGGGAACAGGCAGTCTATACCCTCGGCAAGCCTCCATGTTTGGACAGCTGTCACCAAACGACCTGCGCACGACGGACTGCGCATACCAAGTATGGTAGTGCGCATGCGTGAATAATTTTTCCGCGAAGCTACGAGTTAGCAATGTTGTTGGGGGTCTGCATCTACTTAACGTTTCGAGTTTTAGTTCCTCGAAACGATCGTAGAACGCACTTGTAAGACCCACGTTTATTGTATTGGTAAAGTCCCATGGTGTCTCCCTAAATTAAATCCCAACCCCAAGCAAACTTACAATTCACTTTTTACCCTTAATTAAATCCGTTAACCCTCTCTCATCAGCCCCCAAAACTCAATGGAACAAACGACTGCCCACAATCAATGTTATGATCGAACTTTTCTGGCGAATTTGACAAGTTTAACAGGTGGCAAAACAGCCCCAATGATTTTCGATTTCATCAGAGAAATTGTTCAATATTCAGACCAGTTAAAACAGATAGCGTGGCCCAGGGTTCCCCCACAGGACAGAGCCGTAGTCGCGAGAAAGGAACCCATTAATAGAGCATAAGGATTAAATTCGCATTTTCTTCATTCCTCTTCGCGTTTTCGTACTTTATTTTCCACGCAGGATGCTATATTTTGTGAAAATGTTGAGCCCCTGTTAGGGTCATTATTCTAGGAGTAGGTTTACCGGGTTGTGATTACTTTAAAGAATCAAGTGACTTTCATCTGTCTCAAAGAAAGGTAAAGAATGCATGCTTTACTTACTTCAGTCAAATTTAAAATATGAATTCTGTCACCTTTCTGCTAAGATGAAACTAAAAATAGCATATAATATGTGAAATAAGCATTGTTTTTCTGCAATTCAAAATAGTGGAAAAGATGGTGTGTTTTTTAAAAATTATTAATAACTAATTACTAAAATCCAGTTTACCCTAGGATACTTGCTTAAACTTTTAAAAGTTGATACCATATAATTTAATACTTCAGACAAGATACCGATTTTACTAAAAAAAAATAAACATCAAGTTGCTATTAAATAAATGTTAAACTTTGATAAATATTGTTTTTTCAAAATCAGTAAATAAAAAACCGAAACTGAGGACAACTGTGCCGTTCAAAATTTACAATTTTCAACTATCCAGTACAATATGAAATTTACAAAACACAACATTTATATTTGCTACCTTATTTGGAAGTCACAAAATAGAATTTATATTAATGAAACCGAATTTTGTATTATCCAAGTAAAACAATTAGTAAGGGCTAGAAAATATCAATGATTTAGACTCACGAAATCATGTCTTTGCTGTGTTCTTTAAAATTTGTTCTGTTTCTTCACAATAATTACCAAAGTTTACTTTTTAATTTTCAAAATCCTCTTTGTTGACAAATTTAACATACTGCCGTTTAGCATATAACTAATAATAATAATAAACAAATTAATTAATATTGAACTCTTAGGAAGATACACTAAATAATAAAATTTTAAGTAAATGATTTTCTTACCTACATTTCTTTTTTAAACTATTTAAAATGTGAATATAGAAAATAAATTACATTGTTTATGTTGTAAAGGCTGTAAGTGGTTACCCACTTCCTTCAAACATGGCTGCGCTCTGTAGTTGCGATGAGTTTGTCCTAACGTCAAATGGGAAACATGTTGCAGTCGTGCAATTTAGGTAAACATCGTTTAAAGAGTATAATGTAATTTACATATGTCAAAGGCTTATTATTTTATTATATTTCCATTGATTAAAGACTTAAAACCACTTCGAAAGGGTCGCCCGTCGTCGGTGTAAGAAAGTGATTTCAGTACAGTAAAAGTAACGGTAATCTACCACTTCAGCGTCGGCCAAGAAAAAAATCCAGTTGTTCCGTTTGGAAGAGCTATTTAAACAACTATTCTTACTTTTGAATCTGTTAATATTTTTTCTTCTGTATAGAGGCTATAAAGTTATATTGCACAATGCTAATACATTTAAATAATTAGACTGCCAAGCTACCGATATGCCAGGAAGAAAAAGAGACTACAATTATTTTTTTTTTTAAACCCAGATAACGCGGATGTCCACACACAGAATGTGGAAAACGTGAATGCTCAGAAAGCGTAAACTGAAAAGACAGTTTGGCACAAGATGCGCCGGTGATCTTTCCCCTTCATATTTACGTGGATTCATGTACCACAACCGTTTTCGTGGAAATTATATTTTTTTTACTTCATTGTCAACTTGGGGGAGAACTATGCATAATTCCATGTTCACACATTATCTTCTATTTCAAAAAAATTGTTATAGTTTTTCTAATTTAAAAAAATTGTCTATTATTATGGGAATGAATACGTACAACCAATGTCATTAAAAATAATATAAGAATAGTTGTTTAAATAGCCCTTCAAACAGGAACAGCTGGATTTTTTTCTTGGCCGACGCTCAAGTGGTAGATTACTAAAGTAACTTGCAACTTCAGTAGACAGTAGAATAGTAGTTAGTAGTAGTAATCTTAGTCTAAAGATTTAAATATATTAAAATTAAAAACTAGGGTAAACCTACTAAAACGTAAAATTTAAAGTCCTCCGTAAAATTTAAAGTCTTCAGACTCTACTGTGTCATCATTACTTTATTATAAAACCTGTCAATACCTATTTAAACTTATTTTAGGCTTAGGGAATAGCCCAATGCCTTAGTATGCCCTATTCTATTGCCATTGCTACTAATGTCAATAATAATAATAATAAGGACTTTGTTATTGCCAGGAACTTCAGAAAATCGGGTATAGAAATTTCTTGGAAACCCTACTTTTTAATTTTCTGAGCGTATCATTGTTTTGCCTTTTATAGTTGATGATTGGCATAATAATAAATATTACAACTGGAACCAAAATCTTGCTAGTTCAATTGAGAATTTATTTGAATTATTTTTTATGTTTAATCTTTGAAAATTGAAGTTAAAAAATAGGTAAACTGTCCTGATCAATAACTTTAAAAAAAAAAAAAAGATGTTTCACTTAAAAAATAATGTTCTTAATGTTACTTCGTCATTCATAACATATCCAAAATTCATGAGTGCAGACCGTTGGCAGGGGTACAAAACAAAAATAAAAAAGTCACCAGTGTAGGCCGGCTATGTCATGTAATTTGTCATCATAGTCACCCTGCTTGAAATATTACCTATTATTGATAAATGGCAGTTGATAATTCATTAAATCTTTATCCAGAATATAACTAAAAAATAAATTCTTTTAAATAAATTAATTTTTTATTGCACAAATAATTATTATTGGTTTATCAAATATCAGTGGTTTTATATTGAGGTTGGTTGCTATGGATGTGGCATTGATAATCACTAAGTGGTCCACTTGTCTCTGACTTGCTAACTTAGATAGGCCTATTAAAGTATTTTAACACTATAATAAAATAGTAGTGTAAGCGACCTATATAATAATATTAGGTTAACAGCAAAATTACCTTTGATAATGAATTAATAAAGTAGATATAAAATCAAAGTTACCACAATTAAATATTTCACAAAATATTAAGCAATTAGATTTCTGCTTCTCATTACTAATAAATCTAAAACATTCATTTCAAAAGATGTCCTCAAAGAAAATTACTAATACTAACACATGTCATTAAATCATTAATCCAAAGAATTCCACAACATACTTCAATATGTTCCACAGGTGAACTAGATCCTGTCACCATAGCCTACTTATTCCATTTAAGTCATGTTAATGGCTTATATGACTGCAAACAATATCAAACTCTTACTTGGACTCAATAAACCAAAAATAAGGATAAATTATACAGCTTTAAAATTTTGTGAGTAGGGCTTACTCCTTGATTTTATCAGTGTGAGAATCGCTGATAGTGTCATTGTTTTTTGTTTTCTTTTATAAATGCATATAATTGCTTGCCTTTTTTAAATTAATAAGTTGCAACACCACACCAAATTTAAGCTTTGTATCTTTAATATTTAATAAGTTATGACTCTTTTTTACTCTAAAAATGCACAGAATATTAAATGTATATATTTATATAGGAAAAAATAGTATCATACATTGAAATAATTATTTAGATAACTAAATACTACTTTAAAGCATATTTTATACCTTCATTTATTAGCATATAATATCAACTATTCCTGTAGATATGATATTTTTATAGTGAGAAATATGCAAGAAATATGGGTGAAAGTGATGAGCTGAAAAATGGGTGACAAAATGTGGAGGAAAATTTCAATAAAGTACCCGGTATCTATCTATAGTCATAGTTAGGGATTGTAACTCATGAAATATGGGTAGTGAAAAACTTTAAACGCTTGTTTCTGAACAAACTTTGTACTTCCATGACAAAAGGTTAGTTAGTCTTAACTTAAGCCTGCTGTGTTCTCTTAACACTTAGTTTGACTTAGTTGCTACTCTTAGTTAACAGCTCAGACTCTTCTTAGCCGTTGACCTTCATCAGTCAGCTCCAAAGTAATCAGGTTATGGTCACAGTGTCTATTCAGCTCTCTCATCTAGTCTAGAATTCCAAGTAAATTTAAATTAGGCCAAGCGATGAGTTTTGAAAAGGAGTAAGGAGGCTTACACTAACTTACATTCAATCAGTCAAGTGCTTACCCTTTCTCTTTCTTGTGGAATTTTTTAAAATAAAATAAATCATTAAATTAGATCATTAAACTGACTACCATACATAAATATCTTCTAACAGGCTT